AAAAAAAAAAAAAGAAAAAAAACTACAACTTTAGCTGCTTAATATAAGATAAAATATTTCCTTCATCGACCTTGTTGTTAATTGTATTAAATTCAATGTTTAACTTGGTGAGTAATTTTAGTAAAACAATAATCTTCTGTAAAGAAAACACGGTGGTTTTTTAAAGTCAGTTAACAGTGTCAGTGTCTGTTTTATTTTACTTCCTGTATTATTGTTTATTATATAACATAAATATATATGAAAAAGAAATAAACCTTTAATAGTCAAATTTATTTCTTATCATTTATTTGCTGTGCAAAAAAATGACTGATTAAATACGATAAACTCAATACTTTCTTCAATTTTTCTTTTTTTGTTTATTTACTTATCAATTTTTGTTTATTGTTAATTCATTTAGATATTTGACCACTTACAAGTGCTGCATTCGTTGCTTTGCATAAAGTCGTTGGTATCATTTCAGTTATGAAGCAATGTACTTTTTACACATATAATTTTTCGAATAACAACAAGAAAAACATACAACCTGTTGGAAAGTTCTGAAAAAAAAAACAAAAACAAAAACAAAGGTTTTTTCTTCTTTTCTTTTTTTTTTTTTTTCAACTTTCAATATTGTTTCACAAAGGTGTTAACTGTGTTTCGCAGAAAACTTTTGTTCAACAAACAGCACACTCTTCTACGGTGACAATATTTCAGTTCAATAAACAACGACTATCAATAAGTAAGCAACAATTAGATTACTTTTGTTGTACTATAGTTTGTTAAAGTTAAATGATGAAATAATTGCTTGATTATAACACAGTAACACTAAAATAATCTATCAGTATCAATATATCAGCAAACACTCTTCAAACTTACTATATACCATTTACGGTTTACATACATATGTATCCTTTTGTAAATTTCAAATTATTAATATAAGACCTTCATTAAATGCAATTTAAACATTCAAAAATAAAACTTTGCAGAAATTTTTTTTGCTTAAAGTTAACTGTTTATCAGATCAGTTTTAAGACCAAATTACAACTTTATTTTGCATTAGTAAATTGACACTTGATCTCTTTCTTTTTTTTGATGTACTACTAAAAATAAAACGATATAGTGATGTTTTAACTGTATACAAAAATAAAAAAAACTGTACGAAAGATGTTTCTGAAAAAAAAAAAATTTATTATTTTAGATAACCTACATTTGCACCGTTTATTGTTCTCTGGCAGCAACTATTTAAAGTACAATTAAATAAGTGAAATCTTCAGAAGGAAAAGGAAAAATACTATTTGTGATACATAAGTGATCCACTTTTTTAATTTATCAACTACAAACAACAGGTAAGTTTGGTAGTAACTTGCAGAATTTTTAGTTAATTACAAGCAAATGAAACTGTTCAAAAAAGTAAACACAGAAACTAATTTCAAGGTAAATAAGTGTAAAGAAAAAAAAAGAAAATAAAAAGTAATAACTGCTTCATTAAGTTAACAGTAATCTGCCAATATACGACAGTTGTTCTGACTGTTTCAAACAGATACAAACAATTGCAGTAAGTCATTAAAAACAAGGAAAATTTGGCTAAGCGTGCGATGTTGTTCTACTGTTCGGTCAAAAACAAAGTATAATCTATCGATAGTATTCGTTAGCTTAGATTTGAAAGTACTTTCAGTGTAAGATAATCTAAGTGGCAAAAAATATTGATAAGTTTATTAAAAAAAATCCATGACATAAAAAAATGACGCCAAAATTATGCATCAGATGAAATGGTTCAAGGATCTTTTAAAACAGGCCAACGATATAAACAATAGTTCTTTAATTAAACTTTCAATAGAAAAAAAAAAACAAAACAAAACAAAAAAAAAAGAAATGAATTTTTCTCTCAGCCGATTCTATGCTTTAATTTTAAAAACAAAAAAAGAAAAAAAAAAGAAAAGGGAAAAACAGTGTAGAAATCTTTTCTAATTTAATTAGATCAATTATTAGCTATTTCAACGTGAAACGACTTTTAAGATAACTCTTTCAAGAGACAAAAAAAACATTAATTTTTTTCTTTTCAGTTCCTTTTTTTTTTCTTTTTTTTTTTCTTTTTTTTGGAGGAATCAAAGCAGCAGTTACGCTTGTTGTATAACTCAAAAAACATTTGGAAACAAATTCCCAGATTAGCCACAAAAAAATGACGATTTATCTGATTTTGACGAAACTTTTATGCAGAAACGAAAAAAAAATATTAAGTACTTGCTGATAAAAAAGTTACATAACAATAGCAGTCGTTGAAGACTGAAAAAATTTACAGTTTTAAACTGTTAGAATTTGAAGATATTGATACAGCGCTGTCAAAAAGATTAAACATCAAATGTTTCTTTGAATACCATCACAACAAATCAAATTTACCAAACCTTTATTAACGTTTAAGCTCTATTTGACCACTTGATATTTTGCTTAGACAGAATTTGATAATGCTAGCAGCTAAGACTAAAAGCAGTTTTTTAATGTAGCTTTTTGACTGGTTTTATATGCGCTTGTTTAGGTAACATTTAAAAAGTCTCTTAATCGACATTCAGCAGAAAAAGTGAAGTTTCATAATGAAAGTTGCAAAAAATTCAAAGTTTAAAGTCTTTCATAAAAAATTTTCTTAAACAAACTGATAGTTGCTGCTTATTTCTCTGCAAGTAAAACTTGGAAAATTCTCTTACAGGAAACAGCTATTTTTTGTCGGTTATTCATTTGGTCTGTTATTAGAAGTCGATATGGCAGCCAACCTTTAAAGCAATGCCACTAATCAACTGTGTTACCTCAGTTATATGGTCTTCCAGACGAGTAATCGTTTTCCTTCAACAATCTCTAAGCAACAGCGTTCAGCAACTGCTGATGACAAAAAACTGAATAGAAATATGCCAGCTATAAGTGGTTGAGAAATGCTTACTGGCATAAGAACAAGGTAAAGTTTTTAAATTTGTCAGTATTGTTGAACAAAAAAAGGTAAGAAACACCTAAGCAATTGTGTACTTTAA